CCAGGTCGGATTTAGCCCGGATCAGTTCCTTGATCTGGCTCAGCCGTGGCCCACAGGAGGTGAGGAAGGAGCAGGCTGGACTGTTTCTTTTGTCGGCGGTACCAATTTAGCCTCTAACCAGAGGATGTGGTCTTGCGATAAAGCTCAGTTGATCTAAGCTGTCTCTCGCCAAAAGGGGCGGTCTTGGATGAATGCTTTTGTTGCTTCCTTGTGCTGACATGGGTGCTTGTCTGGCCTCTCGATGGGGTGATTAATGGAGCTAAAATGGTGGGCAACTAATCCTATTTCTCCATCCTGCCACCCCCCTGGTCTTCTTTTCACGTAGCTCCGTGAACGAGCTTACTGCAGGTCAGACAGGTTTCAGTGCTGCACCCGTCTGTGTTGCCTTTTCACCTCATTGGCTCTGAGCTATCCTTCAGGGATCCTGCGTGAGCAGCTCCACAAGAAGCTTCTGTAAGTAAATTTGTAACGTGATAAATGCCAAGTGAGAGTATTTTTTCACCAAGGAGTAAACTAGTCAGGTTTACCATGTGTTTGCTATGATAATGGGGTTGGGATGGTAAGAGGATGCACCTCAAAAGAGCATTTACTCTTTCTAGTTTGCAGATTTGATAATCTCTTTCCAATGTGTATCCAATATTGAATACTTGGATATATTGGATCCAATATAGATTCCAGTATATCCGATTTTAATGGGATGTATATTGAAAAGTGGGCCAATGTGAACCAAATCAGGTTCAACAACTCTAAGTGCAAGGAGGAGGTGCAACCCGGAGGTGTTGAAGACCGGGTTGAATGAGACCCTGGGCAACCTGATCTAGTGGGTAGCTTGCTCAGAAATGACTCTGTCTGTCTGAAATTGAAGTTTGTTAGATGCCTCCAGAGGTCAGAAAGGGGTGAAGCTTATTCATGTATTTCGGTGCAGTGTCTAATGTCTCCTTTGGGTTGCTCCATCGCTGCGTGAGGCGATGGTGGTGTGGTTTATGGCAATGGCCATAAGAGACAGAAACGAGGAGCTGGACAGTGGAAGACTCAGAGCTTGCTGAATTTGGTGTTACTGCTGTGGAACATCTGTGGGATCACAGCCTCTTGTGTCCCAGAAGCAGCTGGGCCAAAAGTAGAGAAATGCCATGGTAGGAAGCTTTTATCTGGCCAGCAAGAGATACAAATCCTTGGGGGCACTCACCCTGAAACCCTTGTGGAGCTGCAGAAGTGTTTCCTCTTAAGGCTGCCCATCAGCTTCTGCGTGACTCACTTGAAGATCTTCATGGTATGGTACATTTCTTTATGGGAAACTTTCTGGTCTGTTCCAAAACGACAGGCAAACAAACATTGCAACATTTTAATAGGGTTCTAAATATTCCTGGGTGCAACCGATCATTCTGCAGGGACACTCGGAGTGCTGTGACTGTCTGGGAAGACTAAATGCAGCCCCACTCTTGGTCACAGAAGAGGATTCCACGTCTTTCATAGGAGATCTGTGATTTCCAAATAACGTGGCATGGATGACTATAAATCCTCAAAGCGTCTTCCTAATCCCTTATACCCTTATCTGACTTTTAATTGAAAATACCGAAATCAAACCATTCTAATTATAGCCTTTACTGCAGTCTGGTGGACCGGATGCATTTCTTTAGTGGGCATTTTTTGCATTTTATTAAAACTTGGCATTGCTCTGGAAAAAAAAGTTCTTTTTCCGTTACGTAGTGGTGAGTTGTTGGGAAGTATTAATGGTGTAAACAGGATCTGTTCCTGGTGTTGTGCTGGCACAAACATTGGTGTGGCTGCATGGCAAACTGTACTGGGGACCTCATTTATCTGGAGTGAACCAAGGTGGAGCTTGTCCACCTGGATGAGATTTCTCAGTGGTTTGTTGTGTTTAACTGCAGCTCCTTGTGCTGGCATGAAATGGGAGGGGATGTAGGGGAAGGAGGATGTAGGATTTCCTAACACATTTAGTGATTTATCCCAGTTTAGTTTCATTCGAGCTGCAGCACTACTTGGAGCAATAGAATCGTTGTCCATGTTGGCTGAGATGTGCAGTGAGACTGTTTTTTTCTGCAATTTGTGGCAGCGTTTCCCTGTATTGTGCTGATGCTCCTGTGATTTGTATGGAGGAATCGATCCAGCTGAAATACAACCCAGGAAAAATGACATTTCAGCCAAATCAGCTTTCTGGTAACGGTTCGCAGTGTGGCTGTACAAGCAGCTCTGCTGGCACAACAGAGGGCGTGGTGAAAGGGGAAGAATGAATGCTCAGGAGGTGCTTAAGCTTTGTTACTTTTGATGTGGACAGACATTGAATGGCATGCCAGCTAGGATTAAGAAGACACCTCCCATCTGTGACATCTTCTGCATCAGTTAAGAAACCTGCAAGTTTTCAACCTGCAAGCATCAACTCCAGTGATGATCCGAGGCCTGCGCTGAAGTTCTCTTGGCCAATTTGCTAGAGAAACTCTCTTTATGACCCCAATATCAATTAACACCAGTTGGTTTGGTACTGCTCAGAGTTGCATATTAAACTGACGCACAGGTTAGGCTGCTTTTACTGCAGCTTGGCGCTGTGCTGTTACATACAGGGTGTAGGGTTCAATGCACTGGCTAACGTGGATATACCTAGATCAGGAAACCAGATTCTGCTTTACAGTGCTGTTGTTAAAATGGTGTTTGAAATGTGATTGTCCTACTTCATGCAAATCCCTGTTAAACAGAAAATCCAACGTGTTACAAGTTCCTAAATACATTTCCTATTTTCCTAGCTGAGGCAGCTCTTATGAATTTGAGACATCTGAAATTCTTCTTGAAGAAGGGCCTCTTTTTCTTTTCTGGGATGGATTGGGATGGGGGTTGAGCCTCCTGCCATCCTAAATCCTTGCTGGGTAGGTGTTAGATGCCTGTCACCTGTCTGTGGGTTCAGACTTGCTTCCACTTGTCCTCCTGCATGATCTGACTGAACTCATTTGGTACCAGACATGGTGTAATGGCTCCAGTGCATCTCCTTTGAGAAAACAAATAGGCTTTAGCCCCCATAGGATGGGTGTAAGCGGTCCATACCAGCCAGCCCCCTATCTGAGCACATAATCTTCCTTTTAGCCCCTTTCCCCAGGCCTCCCATCACTACAGGGACAGGGCCTGGGGCCAGGTGTGTTGGCCATGATTTAACTCTTTCCAGCCTTTGAAAGGATTGCTGGAACTTACCGAACTATTATTCGAAATCTGTGTTTTAAGGGCATACGTTTCCAGGCTTTTTGTATCCAGTGCAAAGAGAAGAAGGGCACAATCCCATTTTTTTTTTCCTTGTTGCAGATTACCGTTAAATTTTTCTCTCAAATGGATGTGAGCAGTGTTTGCCTTGGACAGGAAATCCATCAAGGAGGAGGCAGGCGCATTCTAGCCAAATTGTAACTGAAGAAAAGCAAATACTTTGTATGGCAGTAAGCTTTGGCTCAGTCTCATTTGTTTTGTTTTAACGAGCACCAGCTTCGGTTAGTGGCTTTTGTTTCCTTTTCTTTTCTTCCTCCACGCTTTTCCCTGCTTCTCCTCAGATCGTGACACAGGATCCTGGGACTGAATGTGTGACAGCAGGGATGAAATAGCATGTGTTTGGTGCCAGAAATGCTTATTGCTGCCTTCAGTATATACTGAACAAGTTTTTGAGACAAATGTATTGCCACTTACCCTGATCTGTGCATAACAGAGCAAACATGACTAACCAAATGAAGTACGAAACTGAAATGAAAGCAGGGAAAATGATTATTTGAACTACTTTATCAGCTATTAATGTATTGAATGTTGTCACACGCATTCAGGTTAACTATGGGTGTTAAGTGGGAAGTTCTTAATAAAAAAAAAAAAGTATTGTTAAAGGTGTTTGTCCAAGTCTGCACATTCTGATCGATTTCTGGAAGATTGCCAGCTGTTTTTTCCTGAGCTGCTGTGCAGCTCACTCTACCTCCGTCTTCCTGAAGCTGAAGGTTAGCCTCTGGAAGAGTTTTTTGCTTCTTAACGTGCCTCTGGTGCAGTGGAGTTGATAGTGGTAGTCTTCTGAGTTTTGGCTGGGTGAAGAAGCAGCATACTGCGAAGCAGGAACCTTTCATCTTCATTAATCAAACCCAAATATGATTGTCTTGGTGTACTCCCTGTTGCTGTTTAACTGTTAACACAGTAACCATTCCACTGGAGGCTTCCAGCTGGTTTGTTTCTGTTTGAATTACTGGACGTAAAAGAACTTTAATTTCAACGTAATGTTGGCTTTTAAATAATTCTTTAAAGAACTATGGAAATATAAAAAATGAGATCAACTTGTTAGTTTAATCATTAAACCCCCTTATATATTGTACACTTCAGTTACGGTAGATGAGGCTTTAGACTGGAAAACTTTTCTGTGTACTTTTATATAAATATTTTTCTTGCATTCATTGTCACTGGTAGTGATGGGGAAAGAAAAAACAGGGCAAGAGAATTATTTTTTGAAATGCAAATTAGATTATTTAAAAATCCTCATTCGTACTCAGCTGTCCTTCCAGGTTGGGTATGAAGGATTACTTTACCTGACTGGATTTCAAATTGACAGTTGTCCTCTCAAAACACCATTTTGGTATAAAAAGAGAGTAATCAGGAGTTCAGCAAGATGCTAAATAGGATGACTTTGCTGGAAGCTGGAGTACGGTGACCAACACTTTGTGGTGATTCTCAAGATTTGGTTCATGAAGTACCAAAAGCTGAGATCACTTTCTCTTAAGTTTTGAAGAAAATTATGATAATCTGTAGTTTTATCAGTAGTTTCTGTGGTGACCCTGTTGGAGGCATGTGCAAGTTTATCAGCTGGTGAGTTTAGAAAGTTTCGATCACTAAATGTGTCTCAGTTGAGAACGATAACACAAACACTGTGCTAAGGAGCCTGGTTCTCTAGGATATGGAGGTGCCATAGTGAACTGGAGGTGTGGGTTAAGACTGGTATTTATCCATTTTTATTATTTTTTTATTTATTTGTCTTGTAGGTTGCCATCACGAAAGCCAAAGTGGATTTCTCCGGCGTGGTGTGCCTGCCCCCTTCCGTCATTGCTGGAAATGGGCTGGACGGAGGAGGGGCTGGCGAAAATGATGATGAGCCGGTGCTGGTGTCCCTTTCGGCGGCCCCCAGCCCGCAGAGCGAAGCTGTTGCCAATGAGCTGCAGGAGCTCTCCTTGCAGCCCGAGCTGACCCTCAGCCTCCATCATGGCCGAAACCCCAACCTTCCTCCGCTCAGTGAAAGGAAGAATGGTAAGTGGTGCCACGAACGCGGGTCTCATGCAGGATGTCTCCACTGGTTGGCTTACGGGACGTATCGCGGTGTTGGTGTGGTACATGTTGAGTTGACAAAACCGATTCCCGTTGTTAGATGGGAGTGACTGATGTTGCTGTAGAAGTTCCAGAGAGTCTAGTGATAAACGCAGGTAGGTTGTTGTAGGTGAATACCAGAAACAACTTCCAAATGTCCATGTGCTTGTGGTGACCAAAAGTTGTGCAAGGTCGAGAGGCAATCAAAGGAAGTGTTAACTCATCCTCTGACTACAGCCATCAAGGATCTGTACATTTTTCTATGACACTTTGGTCTGTACATTATCAGGGTTGATAATCTTTGTCACTGCAGATGTCTGAAAAGTTCTGTCAGACTTGGACAAGACCTGGAGTTAACAATGAAATACCCCAGTAGGCCTTCAAATCCTAGAGTGAGAATGACCAGCACACGTATCTCAAGTTGTAGGTAGTATATGAACAGTTGTCATATGAATGCCTCAAACTGTTTTCTGACTGATGGTAGAGTGGCAGAATATAGGGTCCCTTGGTAAGGCTGTGCCTTGAATACTGTGTTAGGTTTTGGGCCCATCGCTAGTAGAAGGACATCGAGGTGCATTTGGAGCACGTCCAAAGAAGGGCAACAAAGCTGGTGAAGGGTCTAGAGAACAAGTCTGAGGAGCAGCTGAGGGAAGTGGGGTATTTAGCTTGGAGAAAAGGAGGCTCAGGAAAGACGTTACCGCTTTCTACCACTACCTCAGAGGAGGTTGTGGCGGGGTGGGAGTTGGTCTCTTTTCTCAAGCTTGGACAATCAACTAGTCTAGGACAAGGGGAAATTGCCTTGAGTGGCACCATGTGAGGTTTAGTTTGGATATTAGGAAAAATTTCTTCACTGGAAGGGTTGTGAAGCATTGGAGCAGGCTGCCCAGGGAAGTGGTTGAGTCACTAACCCTGGAGGAGGTATTTAAAGGATGTGTAGATGTGCTTAGGGACACAGTTTAGTGGTAGAGTTGGCAGTGCCAGGTTAATAATTGGACTTGATGAACTTAGATCTTTTCCAACCTAAATGATTCTGTGATTCAGTGACATTTTCTGGTGTTGGGAGAATGTGAACTGTGTGAAGCTCAAAATCACCAGCCTGGCATAAAACTCTCCATATTCAGTACCATCCTGTGACTGACTGGTAAAACAGTTTGATAACTGATGGCTTCTGCCTGTGAATTCCTTTTGGTCATCTTCCATTACTCTGCCCTCTGGGGTATGTGTTGGTGGCTGTTGGCAGTGTGAAGGGCTTTGTATGCAATTGTTGCAGTGTGAATTGCTTGTTACCAACTTTTGATGCTGTCGACCTCAGGATGGTTGACTCCTGCGTGCTTTATAATGCCTGGTGTTATATGTTGCATTACATACATTATACAGAGTTGTGTGTCGCAGCATACTGGAAATGCTGGGGAGCGCTGGGGTGGCTTTATAGCCAGTACTGAATGTGTCTGCTGAAGTGATTTAGAATCCATGAACTGTAGGACAGTATTTTGGGTTGGAAGGATACCTCACTTGACATGCTTGGCTCTTTAGCTCCAGAAGCTGAGCGTGCCCCCTTCCCTGAAAAGTATATTAGTGTTTTGCTAGTTGGAAGAATTAGCTTCAACCTGCAGTATCGTTTTTAAGAGGATAAAGAGTTTTCTTGTTCATATACATTATGCCATCCTTCTGCTTTTAAAGGCCGTAAAAATGGTGAAGCTGGAATCTGCAAAACAGAACAAAAAGCTAATAATCCTTAATGTTTGCAGTCCTCTAAGTACGAGATAAAAGACAGTGGATGGAGATAAAGGTTAGTAGAAAGTAAAAGAGAAGGAAATGCAATGTTAGTATGGTGGACTCTGATCTCAGCACATCTCAACTAGTGGTAGACTTGGGTATTTTATGCTGACACAGAGGTATTTCTAATGAGAATTAAATGAGGTAGTTTTGAATGTGGTAGAGGACTTGAAGGCAGCATGGGAAAAGCATACAAGTCTTCTGTTTCCAAAACCTGACAGCTGGCCAACTGGAGGTGACACTGTGAAGAGGCAGGATTCTTCCCTTTGTAGTGAGCAAGACATGACAAAAGGTCTGGAAATGGGAACAGTTTACTCTTGATGCCACAAGGAAAGGGTTGCTAGTGTTGGAACTGCTACGAGTACCTAGTTTGGAAAAGGAACCTTGTAGCAGCACCTTGAATAGATAAAAATGGGTCAAAACAGCATTTGTTATGGTCAGAGAAAAGAATATCTCTGTTAAAGAAAAATTAGAGTCTATGTGTAATTCAGTTGTTTGAATAGATTTGAAAAATGGTATGATGGGAATGCTTTACAGAAAATAGATGGTTTTTGTCTGTCAAAATAATGTTACTTTTACGGGCTCAGCCTTGAAGCTCTGTCATTGGGGGCTGCCAATCTACTTGACTGGAACAGGTAAAATACAATTGGATTTGAAAAGTATCTGAAATGGAGCACCTCTACCTAGCTTTTGCCAAAGAAAATGAGGATATTCCCGGAAATGACTCATTAGGTGGGTCTCTTCGCAGCTGATGCTTTATCAGTGCTCAGCACAATAGTGGGAATTATACTGCTGGAGGTGCAGCTTTTCACTCAAGGCATAAAGTCCAAAGTCCCTGGTGTAGACTACCTGACCTTATCTCCAGATGTATACAGTGTATTTTTTTTTCTACCAGGGTGTAATATGTTATGTTATATGCTGCTTGTGTGTACATTCAAGTATTGTGGGGCTAAAAAGTGCTGTTGAAATATGGTTATCTGCAAACTGTGGTGGCATAAAAGGAGACTTGGTTTAGCAAGTCAAGTTGTTGAGGAACGTAGCTGATGTGTTTTGAGTCGATAAACTTGTTCTCCCAAATGGGAAATTTTAAGTTATTTTGGGGAAGAAACTGCACACCTATTGAAAGCTGTTGAGCTTCTTAAAGCTCCTTTTTTTTTTTTTTTACACGATGCATCTTTGTTGCTATGCCTTTAGCTTCAAACAACCTTTAGAGACGATCTGTTAGTCGAGATGGCAATCTGCTTAAACATTTCAGCCATCCGGGGTGGCTGTAGAAGCCTATCTGGTGCTGTGCAACTGCTCCTGTGACAATCTGCCAAATTCAAGGTATGAGGAAGACTCGAGACGAGTGCTGCTAGGAGGGGAGGAGATGGTAAAACCAGAGGCTTGCTGGAAGCTGCCGATGTGTGTCAAAGGGTCTCCTGTTTGCAGTTCCAGACAGGCATTGCTGACTCACAGCTCAGCTTACTCCTTATGCTTTACTGCTTAACCCTTTCTGTAACTTTTCCTGCCAGGAGGTCACTCCTATCTGTAGATGTCTGTAGCAAAATACTACGTGGATCTGCACTGAATTTGTTACTTCGGGCAGTGGTTCCGGAATGTGAGCTATTAGCTGAAGTAAAATTAGAAATTTCTTTGGCATGTAAAGCATCATGGATTGTGTATCCCATGGGAGAACTGGGAGTGCAGTGCTGTATACACATGCTGCCACATGCCCCAGGACAACAAATTTCTTTCTGACTGCTTGTAGAGAACTGGAGAGCAGCAACAGGCTGTTTCTGGGGGGCTTCTGGTTTGTTCTGTGTTTTTTCAGGCCCGGGCTCCACTTCGTGTTCTTCCCTCTTACCCCAGCTACACATTATCCTTGTAGATCCCTGGTTAGATGGGTGTAAAGACTTCAAACATGTTGCCTGGATAGTTGTCATTAAATTATACTAAATTAAAATGAGACAAAAGCCTTTAAGCCTGTGTGTGAAGGACTGGAACGTAACGGATAGATAAGAATTTTTTTTTGACACTTCTCTGCAAGGAAACCAAATGGGGCAAGGTGTTAGTAAAATATTTTGATGCCTTTACTAGGCTCTACGCAGGCATTAAGCTTAATGGAGTATTTAAGTGTAGTTACTTAATTTGCCTTTTTGCCTCACAGTGAATTTTTTTTTTTACCTGAATTTCACATTCCATTTCTTCTTTTTTTTTTAATCCATGTTCATCAAGGCCTTGATCCCACAACTTTCTTAAATGATGAGAGATTACCAGGACTGACTCATTCTTGTAACACAGGCCAAAAAAGGTCATTACAGAGTCATTTGAAGCAGTTACCTTGATTTCTTTTTATTTTTTTAGTCACCTGTAGTAAAATGCCAAGATAAGCTTTCCCAACCCTTAGGGCAAGGTTGACAACAAGGCTCTGATGAATGTGGTTGAAGAAAAAAAAGAGAACGTAACAGGCTATGAATATATAATCTTGTGCAGTTTGATCACTTCTAATCAAGATTGTCTTTCTGTTTAGCTTTATTTTAAATTATAATTACTTCCCTAGCTTATTGACCTTCTCTTATTGACCCGTGTTCCCCAGGTGAATTCATAGTTACCTCTGTGCACTGATCATGAAAAACATGGTGTTAGAAGTCTACCACTGGCCTGCTGCTTCTCCCTGTAGGCCTCTTTAAGGTTGGGTAACATTCTTTCAGATGAACTGTTGCATTTTGTGATTACAGGTTTGGACAAAACTTGCGCCGGCTTGTCAGTTTTTGGGGGTTTACTTGATCTGGGTTGCTTGCCTTCTACAAAGTGCCTACATATGTACCGGGGGTAAGGAGCGTAGCTGGAATGTGTGGAATTTCAGTATGACTTGAAGTCATGTAACAGGCATGTGCTTTATGGATCCGAAGGTACTCCCATTGCTGTGAAGACCTCATCCTGTACAAAGCATGGGATTAATTATTGCCACATACGCTGCTGGAGATTATACCCATTTACAAATTGCAGTGTTGAACTTTTTTTTAATGATTCTAAGGAGCTAAATTAATGCCTGTGTTCGTTTACTGTCAAAAGACAGAAGTATCAGGGCACCTGGTTTTACTTTAAAGAATTGTGTGGGTGATTGCTCCTATAATTATTTTGTTAGGGCTTGTGTTCCTGTCTCCTGCCTCTTGCCCATTCCC